TCACGGGTGAGGAGACGCGGAGAGAGTCTTTGGTCTAACTTTCAGACACTTTCACAGGCATTCAGCACTCCTTTCTTTTATTATCCAACACATTTAAAACACACAGACTATGAGCATAACAGCAGCTGCAGCAGGGTTTTCCTGGCACTTCACTTTTCGTTATTTTCCCCCCGCGGCACTCTGATTCTCCTCACTCTCCCTGCGCCACATCCTGCCTTTATAACCTATAACCTAAATTCATCAAAACACCGGTTGATTGCCCACACATAGCCTACATTTTATGTACCTATACTAAACGGATGCAAATGTTTCAATAACAATAGGCTTATTTTTTGTTATTCTTTGAAACATTCTAGCCATAATTAATCATTTTTACAGACACTCCATTATTATGTGACTGTCACAGTATCAAACGCTCATATAAATCACGGGATCAAACGTGACTTCTGAAGAAAAACGAATATGGAGTATGATGGACGTCGGCAACTGGTCATCCTGCTGTGTGTTTGATAACGATAAACAGAAATGAGAAAAATTGTTTGGATGAGATCCTGGCTGAGAAGACGTGTTATGTGCAGCTTTATCAGTGTGAGCTGAGGGTGAGTAATAACATCTGGTTGGTGACACTCCCCGGTCTGCTTGCTCTCATCGGCTGTTGCTGGTATTCAATTGGAGGCAGCTCAACCGCTCTCTCTCTATGCTCTCTCTCTTCATTGATCTCAATCTACACTTTCTTTTTCTTTCTGCATTAATGAATCATTTCTGTTTCAGAGAGCTTTCATTGTCCAGATGAGGAGGACGAGGAGGAGAAGGAGGAGAGACACGATTCACTCTCTCAGCCAGGGAGAAATGAAAAGGATCAAATGTTTTAGTATGATTAACATTTCTGGTCTGAACCATCTTAATTAATTCACCTCTTCTTTCATCGCTTAATTCTGAGACAGAAACTTCAAAGGTTTGATAAACAGAGAGATGTGTGTGTGTGTGTGTGTGTGTGTGTGTGTGTGTGTCTGTCTGTCTGTCTGTCATGTGTTTTAACCATTGTAGTGAGGACCAGTTGACAGAGGGAGGACATTTTCTCTGTGAGCACTGATCAACCAGTTTAAATGCAGCTTCAGCTCTGCAGCAGTTCGTTGCAGGAAACGTTTTCTCCATGATGAATGAACGTTTAATCTTCTGTTTCTGCAGATTGTAACCAGAGAAGATGGCAGGGGTAAACATTGAGCTCCTTGTGATGCTGTAGCAGAATAAAGAAAGGGACCATTTCAGGGGATAATGTGAACAGATTATAATATAAAGTGGTTAAATTTATTATAACATTTGGTTCAATAAACTATTGAAAAGACATCCTAGGGAAAAAGGGTTAAATGTACTGTATGTTGTATTCTGTAAAATTTACATCAGGGATCTACTGTTGTTCCCTGCAGCACACACAATCTACAAGCAAGTAAAGAAGGATGAGTTCTGTACTGAAGAATTGATGGTGAACGTAACCTAAAATGAAATGACCTACTCTCTCTGTACTATGGGAGGTAGAGCCTTCAGTTATCAGGCCTGCTCGTGGTACCTACAGTCTCTAAATGTACTATGGGAGGTAGAGCCTTCAGTTATCAGGCCTGCTCGTGGTACCTACAGTCTCTAAATGTACTATGGGAGGTAGAGCCTTCAGTTATAAGGCCTGCTCATGGTACAGTCTCTAAATGTACTATGGGAGGTAGAGCCTTCAGTTATCAGGCCTGCTCGTGGTACCTACGGTCTCTAAGGGTCAGATTTACTAAAGGTTTGCATGTCTTAAAACGTGTGCAAACTAGATACCACCAGCCAAAAAAGTGCTCTCTGATCTACTAACAGCGCGCAGTGACGATTGCGTCTTTCAAATTAGCTAAACAACACGCATTGTCCATTTAGTATGTTTGCCTTTATGAATATGCAATATGGGGCGTTTCTGCCCTAACATGCAAAATACTGGGAGGAGAAAATGCAAACAAGTTAAGTTAGTACACTCATTGCGATTTACCAAACCTGGCAAAAATTGCGGTGATTGTGACGGTGTCTGAATTTAACACCTTTGAAAAGAACGCGCTAATCCAGGAGGCCAGCGTTACGCACAACAGGCTGCTGTTATTGAAGTTAGGAGGAGACATAAGCACAATAAAATAAGGCATAAAGATCGCATTATTCCCCACGTGTTTACATGTTTCAAATGACAGAAAAATAAATGGCTTGCATTTATTTTTTAATTTGATTGAATATTCCAATCGTTAAGGAAGAGGAACACCATGATTAAACTACAGGCTATTGTTGCCACAGCCTACAGCCAAACAAAACTGAACATTCACAGCCTCTGAATTCTATAGAATTTCAGCATTGACATTTATGTCGTCCTATTTCCCTCTTTTCGGCAACATTACATTTAAAACTGGGGATTTCCTTTTTCTCGGCCCGCGCGTCTCTCCCCCAGCTCGCCCCCTCCAGTGTGCTCCTCTCCATAATGCGCTCGTCACCTCCCTCTAAAGCCTGCTGCTGCTACTCTGTAGGACACTTGGATTGAGGTATCTCACCACTGTTTGTACCCCCGTCTTTGATACCTTTTTCCAGGGCATTTTATGTCCGATCAGACACAGCACTGGCCAGCTGTCTGGTACGCAACAATGGTGAGTGTAGAGCGTCCGTGCCACAGAGGACACAGTGCGCACCTCCTGCGCAATGTATGACACTTCATTCTTAAGATAAGGGAAGAAAAGAGAGGCCCTGTTTAATGCCGATGTCTTCTTATAACCAAATTTTTCTTGATAATATTCAGATTTATCTCCTATAACTCAAAAGTATTGTGCGTTTATTTGCCTCTCCCACTAATACCTATTTTGCGCTTGCAGTCATCCTGCTTTCTGTCCAAACTCTCCGTGATGTAAACCAGTAGAACACGCAAAAACCTAACTTAAATAGTACCGCCTCCACAAGGTTTGCACCTGGTGTCATTCACGCAAATTTTCTTGGTAGATCACCCGCAAAATGCCCACCAACCAAACGTGCAAACCTTTGGAGTGAACATGCAATTTAGTACTCTTTAATTGGGAGCTTAGTAAATCTGGCCCTAAATGTACTATGGGAGGTAGAGCCTTCAGTTATCAGGCCTGCTCGTGGTACAGTCTCTAAATGTACTATGGGAGGTAGAGCCTTTAGTTATCAGGCCTGCTCGTGGTACCTATGGTCTCTAAATGTACTATGGGAGGTAGAGCCTTCAGTTATCAGGCCTTCTCATGGTACAGTCTCTAAATGTACTATGGGAGGCTTCCAGACATTAAAAACAACATGAAACATTGAAGAGCATACCAAAATATAGTAACCGGGACAAACAAGACCAAAACTGATTTCTGTTAAAAATATTCAAAAAATAATTAACTTGTTACCAGCCTAAACCACTCAACAAACCAGATTCAGTAGAATGACATGTCAGGTGTGAAACCAGTGCAGCTCCAGTTTTCTGCCTGAACGAGCTTTCAGGTGTCACCTCATCTTTTAGGACAACATTCTGATCTAATATTTCCTTACTATTAAAAACACTGAAGTAGAAAACACTGGGAATCTTTAAAAAGTGATGTTTACTACATTAATTTTTGTAAATACAAAAAAGCACCATCAAATCTTAACATTCCTATATTTTGTATGAATAACTAATTATATTTTTGTTTCAGAACATCTGATTCAGGATCAGATTCAGGTATCATGAAGATTAAAGTTAAAGATGCTTAAAATTGTTACAGACTTAAAAATAAAAAGAACAACACCTCAAGTGAATAAAGGAACCAGTCAAAGCTCCTAAAACTCTGAGAAGACAACTGGGACCAGCTGAAAGAAGTCAGTCTGAGTTATAGCCCCGCCCACTTATTAACTACTTCCTGTCATACAATTTAAGGTTGTAATTCACAGGTAGTCACACAGGTAGTCACACAGATAGTCACACAGGTAGTCACATAGGTAGTCACACAGGTAGTCACACAGGTAGTCACACAGGTAGTCACACAGGTAGTCACAGATAGTCACACAGGTAATCACACAGATAGTCACACAGGTATTAATACAGTACAGGTGGGCACACAGGATGGATTAATGTGGGATCTTTGAAATATAACACTGAGTAAATTCCTTTACCTGCTCTTTGTATGTCTCTAGAGAAAAATTGTTATGAAATGGCGCTATACAAATAAAGATTAATGAATTGATTGATTGACAGGTATTCACACAGGTATTGTAACAGGTGGAGCGTGTCGTCTCCTACTAGAAATTTGCAACTCGATCTCAGATACTTCAGAGCACCTGTGGAGGTTACCTTTGACAAGAGACTGAAGTGTGTGTTTTTTTGTTTGTGTGTGTTTGTGTGGCTGTGTTGTGTTGTTTTGATGCCTCAGTTTATACCTGTACAGGTGTTTTATCACTTTCAGAGAATCAACTTGTTTTTTCTACTGAATGAAATTGTGACGTAGTGCTGATTCTTTTCCACAATATTTTTGTATATAAGCAATTTTACAACATACAAGCCTACATAAACCTGTGACAACATCCAAATAAACACATCCAAATATTACCTGAACACACCTGTACACACCTTAATACACCTGTACAAACGTTTACACACCTGAAGACATCTTTGCTGTTTCTTTACAAGGCGACCAATCAAACGTCAGCTGCCTTCAATGCTTCTAAACATTGATATTAACAACATTTCACACATCTCAGCTTTAATTTATTTTAAAGACACGACACAAAACAACGCGTTTAATGCAGTGTGTGTGTGAATTTGTTTGTGTGTGTATTTGTGTCTGTGTGTATGTGTGTCTGTGTCTGTCTGTGTGTGTCTGTGTCTGTCTGTGTGTGTGTGTGTTTGTGTGTGTGTGTGTGTGTGTGTGTGTGTGTGTATTTGTTTCTGTGTCTCTGAGTGTGTGTGTGTGTGTGTATTTGTTTCTGTGTGTGTGTGTGTGTGTGTGTGTGTGTGTGTGTAT